TGAACTTTTTTTGTGTGATTTTTGTTTTACGAAAACATTAACTAGTGAAAATTTAGTGAAGATGGTTTAAAAAGTTAGCATTTTAAAATGTTGCTGTTAAATATTATATAGTATTAAAATTTCTGTATCAAATAAGATATACACTTTTTCCGATTGCAATAAGTTCACTTATATAATTTTTAAATGTTTTTAAATGTACGTTTATCTTATATGAAAATAATTAACATGAACATTTAAATATGAAATGTAGAAATGAATGATAAGTGCAGATATTTCATTTTCAAGTTGAAACGAAACGGTAAAAAAAACTAGAATATGTACATTTTCATTTCAACAGACATATCTATATTTCAATGCCTTCTTAGAAAATTTTATGATCTCGAGGAGTGAATATATGTCAACATCTAATTGTGTCAGAAAAATTTTTGGAATAGCTGGAAGTTATAATGTTCTTCAAGGAGTTTTTTAAAACAATTGAAAAATTAAACTTTTTTTCTTGCATTAGAAAGCGTTTTCTAATGCAAAAAAAAAAGTTATATTCATAATTTTTTTTGTCAAAAATGTAGATACCATGGTCTGATAGAACACCCTAGATTTATCCAGATTTATATCATTTTTAAATAACGCTGTAAATTTTTCAGTAGTCATTTTGAAAATTTAAACCGTAGATAAAAATAAACTTCCTTCTAATATGCGTGATATGATAAGTTTTCGTAATACGCTTCGTAGGCAATGGCAAAGAAACAAAAGTAAATACAAAAAAAGCATACAAAAAATGAAGTAAAATAATACAAGCGAAAATTCAAGAAATGAAAAATAAAAAATCGTCATCATTATTAAATAGTTTTGAATGCACTGGCGGATTATTTTAGGGAATTTGATTCACTTGCATTCAAATATATTTAAATAATAAATTTAAGTTTACACACTTAATCAGGTTTAAATATTAACAAAAATTCTATAAAAAATTTTATTTCTGAAAAAGTAAAAAACATTATCGAAAGGCAAAAAGACAATAAAAGTTCTGGTGAAGATGGAATTTATAAAATATTAAAAATATTAAAAATGCTACCGAACCGAGCTATTAAATTTCATATAATTTACTTATGAAGAAGTAAAAAACATTATTAAAACACAATCCATAATTATTTTCCTGAGCTTGAAAAATGCTTCAATTATTTGCATATTGAAAATCTCGTACTAAAATTTAAAGTCATAAGTCTATTAGCTTATTAAGTTCCATAGGGAAAATAAAAAAATTCGAAAAGGGTATAAAAACCCATTTGTATTTATTTATCGAGGAAAAACTAATCTTACCACATGAATAATTTAGTTTCGAGAAACACATCAAACTTGCCACCAATCTAATAAATTCTAAATTTTCGTTAATAATTTCTACTGGTATAGTGGCACTTGATGTATAAAAAGCTTTCAATATCGTATGGCATGATGGGTTACTTCAAAAATTATTATTATTTACTTTCCCACATTATTTTATTGAAATAATTAATGGTTTTTTGGAAAATAAAAATTTAAAGTGAAAATAAATAACACATACTTGGCAGAAAAAAATATTTTATATGGATTGCCAAATGCTTCTTGTATTAGTCCGTTGTTATACGATATGTACTAGCGACATAAAACACCAGACAACTGCACTTTGGGGCTTTTCGCTGACGATACCACCTTCTTGAGTTCTTCTGAAAGCCCTACTGAAATAATTCAAAATTTATAAGTAGTTTTAATGTTTTAAAGGATTATTTCACAAAGTGGAAAATCAAAATTAATACCACAAAACTCAACGTTTTACTCAACCGTAAGGGCGTAGTACGGTTTATCTACCAAACAGAAATTTAATTGTAAGACAATAATTCAGTCTATTGAGGTTCAAGTATCAAATACCTTCTTATTTTTTTAGATTCCAAATTAAAATTTAACATAAATACTACAAAGTAATATAAAAGATTACACTATTTTAAAACGTTGTATTCTCTAATAAACAGAAATTCTTATTTAAAAAACATATAAAATTTTAACATTTAAATCTATTTAAATCTAAGTCGAATCCTACTTATTATATGCTTCCCCAGTGTAGCATAGTATGGCTAGATGCCACAAGCAGCAACTACAAGTGTATGAAAATGAAGTCCTTAAAATGTGCTTAAATTTACCTTGGTACTCTTCGACAAGTTTTATTTATAAATATTTTAATATTTTACAAAAAACCAAAAGCAAAAAGTGTTTTTGAACAAAGAGAAACTTCATACGAACGTTTCTTATCTAACTGTGGATTTGTAAATAATCGAATGGTAAGGGCTTGGGCGTTAGCCGTTCCTGAAGAACAATGAGCTTCGTAATTTTTATTTTTGTTTGTTTTGCTTCTTAGTATAAATTTTACATTAAATTAAAAATTATTTGGTTTTGTAAATTTTTTCCAAAAAGAAATCTGTACAAATCTCAGTTCGTTTATTCTCATTGAAATAAAATATTTTTTAATTAATTAGCAATTTTAGTTAAAAAGTTACTATTATTAACTGATATCTATTAATTAATTATCTACATACATAATTATTTGTATTCAGTGTTAAAATATTAATCGAATAAAGAATAAAGATAATCTCAAAGATTGCAAAATGTCCGTGCAAGTAAATATTTATAATAAAAACAAAAATACCAAAAGATTTTCTAAAGACTTAATAATTTGATTTTAATAATTTTTTGTTCTTGCCTTTGCGTTTCTTCGAATTTCTTTGTTGTTTTAAAAAAAAATTTTTTAAAATTTATTAATTTTTCTGAAATAATATACTAAATGAATGTTTTACGAATGTGGTTATAAAAAATGCAAACGATTTAAATTTTAATAGTTTGGAAAGTAAATTAAAAATAATTAAAAATAATAAAAAAATTTTGAATAAAAAAGAAAGAAAAAAATAGACTATCATAATGAAAATAGACAAAAAATTAACGCGTCAGATTTCAAAAACTTTAAATATCTAACATTTAATACAAAAATATCCAGGTGTTTAGTATAATTCACTCATTGCTTCCATATGAACTCTATATAAATTTATTTTGATGTACTCTCTGAGCTTGGTGGCCTGATACATGTATGTATATGGCACTAGTTTTTTTATTCAAAGGAAATATCTAAAAGCTTTTAGGAAATTCCCGTTTTTTCAAATTATGAATTTTTCGTAATGAGCTTTGTTCGGAAATTTCTCAGAAGAAAAAAGTTCAGAAGTTTAAATTGTTTCTTCGAAAAATTAAAAAGTATTGTAGATTTTTTAAAATATTTTATTTTATTAGCCAAAAATAATATTATAAATGTTATACAATTAGCCGGTCTCAGACATCTGCCACAAAGTTTCCGTTGGATACGACCACAGACTAAACCTCTACCCCCTCGCATTTTAATCACCTTACCCTGGTCATGTCCATTGTGGTGCACGTGGTTCGCGTCGAGGTGACAGTACGATGTATACATAATAACACAGTCTTTTTAATAGATAATATAGAAACCTATCAAAACTTCTAATTTTCTATTTTTAACAACGCGGCGTATTTTTTTTATGATTAAAAAAAAAGATTTACTCAAAAGTTCCAAATATATTTAAATAATTTACAAAAAGCTAAAACTTTGTTCTTAAAAAATATAAGTTTTTCTTACCAGATAGCGAAATTTCATGGTATTCTCTTTTTAGAGTCTGCCCAAGAAAAGAGGATTTCTTTTATTGAAAAATCTGTTATATATTTCTTAGTCTTGTATAGGGAGTCCGCAAGTCGGTGGTACTTCCGAAGTAGGGTCGTAGCTTGCATCTATTTATAAAGAAAAGTGCTAAAAGTAGATTTTCCTTTTTGTACTCTTCTTCTCGAGTTATGAAGCCTCAAGGTTGGCCTCTCTGGAAACTTCTAACTCTTACACTTTTTGTAATTCGAGTAATATGAAAGGCAAAGCCACCTTGGTTAATGCTTTTTAAACTCATTATATTATGCCTCTAGCGCTGTATGGTTGGAGTCAAGGATTTAAAATAAAGAGGCATGATCAATTAGCTGATAATCTAAGCTCAAAGCACTAAAAAGTAGATAAAACGAAATATTTTCAGAAACAAAAATGTAAGTTTTGTTACTCAGAAACTTTTCGTTTGCTGAACTATCTGTAAAACTTAAGTTTTTTAAACCAAATATACATATATTACTTGAAGGGTACAGCCAATGTTGTACAATCGAAAAGGGTACATCAAGTTGGCTTTGTTTGCTATATTTCTTAAGTTAAGTACAAATAAAATTAAAAAAATTGGAAGATTTTCAGAAATACAAGCTTTGAGTTCTTGTAACCTCAGAAAGATAGTCCAATGAGAGTGTAAATGTTACAACTTATGCTTTAAAATATTATTTTACTGAGATACGTTGTTAAGCATAAGGAAAACCCCTTTTTTGTGGTACAGGCTAACCCCTAAATGTGATCATATTTTGGGAATTAACTTCTGCTGCTATTCAGTAATGAATTTGAGTAAAACAAGTGAAATTAAAAAATCCGCTGCTTATTTATGTTTGAAATGAAATTTTTATTAAATAATGGTAACATTTTTTTACTGATTCATTTTCTTGACTGTGAAATTTTTTTAAACTGAGCGCATATGTAAAAATTAGTACTAAATACCCTCCTCCACAATGAGTTTTTTCCATATTTTAAGCGATGGTTAAAATAAACCCCAGTTACAGTAGTTGGAACCAAGGACGGTTCTAATTTTTGGAATTCATTTGGTTAAAATTTAAAATTTTCATATTAAGAATTTAAAATTTTCATATTAAGAATTTAAAATTTTCATATCACATACACTATACATATTTTTGTACTGGTTTAGGTAATTGATAAAATTTGATTTTCTATTAATCATCAACTTAGTTTGATTATTAAGACGCTAAATTCAAAAGTTTTACGCTAAATATTCTTTTATCAAATTTTTAATTTTGAAAAACTTTATGCTTTTATATTTTAGATAGAGATGCCGTGGAGAAAAGATTAAGCATACTACAGCAACAGGGTTATATATATGTAACAGAAGATTCTACATAAATTTTTAAACTTTTTGGAGAGTTATCTACTGCTATCGAGTGTTATTTACTTTATATAAATTATCTTTTTTTATTTACTCCTGTTTTTTTTAATTCGAGCGAAAAACATCTCTAATGTTTAATATGAATTGTTTAAAAATATGTGTATGTAAAATATTGAAGTGTTTGAAGGAATAGATTGCGTAATTGAATTTAAAATCATTGTCAGTCAATTTGAAAAAAATTAAAATTGAATGAATAATATGACATAACTATTCAAATAATTAATACATACATTCTGCTAATTAAAATATATCTTTATGGCATAATGTATCTAATACGTTTATACCTTTATCTCTTATATACGTTTATACTTTTACTCTAATAAGTTTTTACTTTTGTATAAAATTCGAAACAAAAGGTAATTTTATTTTTATCCGACTTCATTCTCTATTATTTTGTTTTTCTAGTATACTATTTTTTGTCATAAAATAGTTCATTTTATCAAAAATATATACATACATATGCGTGTTATGACTTAGTGGAATACATATTTGTTTTAATTAGTTAATTTGATAAATTTTTAAGAAGATACTAAAAAATATATAAAAATATAACAAAGCAAAACAACACAAATGTTATTGTAATATGTATGCTTTAAAATAACAATAAGAATAATTATACCATTTATAATAAGGATTGACTTAATATATCCTAAAATTCCAGTAAGAAAAATACAAAAGTAAAGCAAATAAAATAACAAGATTGAAGAAATTATTAAAAAACCAAAACGAAGTTTAATTTATTATACTGATATTATTATAGTTTATTTTTGCTTTATCTGCTTTTTTGGTTCTTAGTATCTCTAAAAGTTTTGTTCTAGTACTTTTTGAAAGCAATTTTCTTTAAAAAAAAAAATTTTATGCAATCTTTATAGAGACCTTAATTTTACGCAGTCTTATAATATATACCTTGACATTACAAAAAATCAAGGCCTGGATCCTACTTTTTTTTGTGAATGTTTTTGTAAAATTGCATATGTTTTTTTGGTGAAATGACATTTCTGAAGAATCATTTTTTTTTGTGTTTTGTTTGGAAAAATTATAGGTTTTGCCTATTTTCATTTCGACTTTTCTATACGAAAAGTTGACTAAAACCTAAACATTTCTATACTAAAATGAAATTTGGAATTTTTTGAAAAACATATCAAAAATTCAAATTTAAACTCAAAATTTTAACTATAATAATATATGTGATGAAATCAGAAGTATGCATTTTGGTAGATATTGGCAAACTTTTTATCAACTATCAAATGCATTTTCTCAAACTTGAAAAAATACACCAAAATCAACTTAAAACTTTGAAAAAAAGAAAAATTGCACAATTTTTTTTCTTGTAGTGTAGCATTTATTGAAATCTTAAAAAAATGGACAGAAAATGGAAGGTTTCTTTTAAATCAATTTTTTAATATTTTAATAACACAAAACTTTATAAATGTAAACACTAGTAAAGTAGAAAAAGATTGTATTTTAACTTTTTCTAATTAAAAATTTGAAAAAAGTTGATCTTGTGGGGCATTTATGATGTTAAAAAGGGCCCCCTATAGATCCCATAAGAATACGTGTAAATTCGTCAGCTGTTAAATGCCACTCTCTCTTAGGGTCCACGTCATCAATACAGAAATAATCAATAATGGAATAATACTTCTGAACCAGTTTAATGGTAATGTAATATCAAGTAGGGGAGCGATTGCACTTAAGGGGATTTAATCAAATTCAACAACGATACAATAAAAATCAATAATGAGATGTTTAGATGCCAGGAAATATCAGCACACAAAGTTTGGGCACCAATTTTACAACCCGAAGTAACTGAAGATAAATTACATCAACAACTTTGCTTGGAACTATTGCAAGAAATCCATATTAACAATCGAACTACTGAAAGAAGGAAGGCTTACTGAGCGGATCTTAAACTATAGTCCATCCATTGTAGGTGCAATAGTGATGCTATTCGTGATGATGCTTCTCATTAGAAAAAATCGAGAAAAACTTGTAATTAACAACACTTGATTGATTGATCGTCTGTATTTCTGTCAGTCGTGATGTATAAAAACAACTGTCACGTCCCTTCACTTCAATTTACTTGACACTTCCACCAAAATTTTGTATACATTTAGGCCCTTATTATTAACGAAATAGAAATACTAAAAGAAACAAAATCTTTGTACACTTCCTAAAATCGTATCTTGAGAAAAGACATAGTGAAGCCAAAAAATTCAGGTAAGTCTCTTTCTTTGCTCCGAGAAATGTCACAGTGGAATTAACATTAAATACCAAATGTTTTGTTTCTTAGAAAACTACGCGTACTCTTTTTAGAAAAGTAAACAAAGAAGATTTTGTTTTTTTATTTATAAAATTTTTCAGCTTGTAAATAAAAAATCTTAAAATATTTATTAATAAGTGTTAAAAAAGGAATATTATTTTATAAAAACTTATAAAAAAATTATAACATGTGAAAAAAAGAAAAAATTTTTTGAAAAAGAAGGCGTATAGTTTTAAATAGTTATTCCCATTTGCTAAAACAAATAGTTTTTTACACTATATAAAAATGTAAATATTATTCATTTCAATAATTAAAACAAATATTTATTCAATAGTGCTTTGATTAATTCATAATTTCTAATTTTATTTAGTTTTTAATTTTGCAAAGAATGTTTTTGCTTTGTTTTAAATTAAAATTACTTCGGATACCATAATTTTACCAGGAGCGTTTTTTTTTTAAGCAAAATGAGTTTGTGTTTGATAAAATATAGCATAGAAACAAATATTTTAAATTATTTTTTTTGTATAGTTACAGTTTTCCTAGAAATGATGAAATGAGATATATTTCCCTTTATAGAATGAAGATTTGAAGTCACCAAAAAAATAAAAGAAAATGTCCCGATGGCGTTAAATTCAGCAAGTAAAATAAAATATTAGCGTGAAATATTTATATTATAAAATATTTTGTTTTAAAATGAATTAGTATGTTGAGCTTCATTAATGAATAAGGAAGAATATGACAACATATCACCTACTTCAGTAAGTAATAACCATCATATTAATTAAAATTTGTTAAAAATTGTACTGTTATTGAGTCATTAGAATTTATATGTATTTATATTTATTGTTATAAATATTGTTTACAGTTCTTCAGTAAAATCAAACAAAACTGAATTTAAGAATTTTTTTAACAAAATATGTTCAGTTTTGAGGGTCATAAAATATTGTGTTATTAAAATACTATAAATATTTGCAATTTATAAAATAAATTTATTCAAAGAGGAAAAAAATATTTCCTAAAAAAAATTTAAAGAGGAAAGAACATTTCAATCTAATATAAGAATATATTTCTTAACAAAAAGTATAATGACCAACTTTGAATACACCGTATGTACTCGTATGTATTAGTAAATTGTGTATTACGGATTCTTGAGAATAAAGATGTCTGTTATAATAAAAAATATTTCATTTCCTTTCTGATAAAGAATACTAAAATACTTACTAACTCTGCTTCCATAGGAATTAGAATATTAAAAATATTATTAAAAGTATTAAAATATTAAGGAAACATGAAAAAGAAAAGTTTACTTACAAGAAAAAAGCTCTTGTAAGTAATAAAAAAATTAAAATTTTCTAATTCCACGTTATTAACAATAGGTTAATAACGTGGAGTTATGAGCAAATGAGGGTTAAACAAAAATTTAGAAAAAAAATTTTTAACAAATTGACTTTGCACTTGACAGAGATGAAATTAAAACAAATCTTTACAATCGCTGGTATACCGTTAGAATGAGTCTACAAAACTAGATTTACCTGTCACATTTCCCGAGTTATGAATATGTGAAAATCAGAAGGTTTTTGCATGTTTCAATTTTGAGGCCTCATTACTCGAGAACAAAGGCTCAAAAAGAAAAATATTACTAGGTGTTTTTTGTTGGTCTGCATGTATTCTATCACCCTGCTTCGGGAATACCATTGAGTTTCGGACACCCTGTATCTTCAATTAAAATGTCAAAATCACTATATTATCGTTTATTGCAAAAATTCTACACAATATTTCATTTGTCGGATTTTCCTAAGTTTGGTTATTTGACACCAGAACTGACTAATTGACTAACTTGGCTATAAAAAGATAGGTGATGGCTTTTGAATTAGCAGAAAAACGGTTTTGTATCTATATAATTTTGTTAGTCAAGGTTTTTTCAAAAAATTTTTAAATATTGAAAAAAATTATTTTTTAATTTTGCAAGAAAAGTTTTTTTTTTTTTTTAAAAATTATATTTTTCAACTGAAAAATTTTTGGACAAAATTTGTGTCTAACTGAAGCAAAAACAAAGTTGGAGCCAAAATGCAAGAGGAGGAGCCGTGGACACAAATTTTCAAATTGGAGCCAAACGACAGCCCTGGACACAATCAATGGAATTTAAACAAAAATATAGGAACGAAGACAACAAATCGGAATACTTCGTAAAAAAATCGAGGGTTTAGTAAATTATTTATTAGACACGGTTTGCCAAAAATCGGAAGGTAGAACTATAATTCAATTATAGTTCTACCTTCCGATTTCAATATAGAAATAACAATAATTCAATAGATAATTCAATAATTCAATAATTAATAGAAAAAACAATAATTCAAATATAGAAATAAAAGAGAAAGAAAAGCGATAATTTAAAAAAATATATAAAAAAAATCATGAAAATATCTAAAGTTGGATCAAACTAATGGTTTGCGATGTAGCACTTTTCCCTTCAATAAGTGAAAAGACTGATTTTAAAAACGATCTATGTATATCTACTGCACTATTGAAACTACTTTCATTCATATACCAAACTAATTCAAGGATTGCATACATTTAGGATGAACGATTGCAGTCTTTGAAAAAAAGCAAAAATAAATTTAAAGAGGTGTTGATATAATACTCGATTTTAAGTCTCAATCATGTGAGGTAAGAAAAATAATTATATTTTTTATTCGGATGGAATTCACCGTTACCTCTCTGTGTTTAAAGAAATTTGAATTTTTACTAAAGATCTATGTAAATTTCTATTTAAATTTCTATAATGTTTTTTATTTTCAAGGGCGTGGAAGTTTTGTAGGCATGTCCACCGACCAATGTCTAGCTTCGGTTACAACTTCTTTGTCGCGTTACATATTGTTCTATTCGACCATTTGAGGTTGGTACGTTCCACTGCTGCATTGCGTCGCAGCAGCCTGTGGGTGCTTAGATGCATGCCCAGGTTGTCCTTTCCGGATAGAGTTCCGAGGGTTGCAAGTTTCGCAAGTTCGTCTGCCTTACAGTTCCCGGAAAACTAACTGTGTCCCCGGGATCAAGCTTAGCTCGAACTGGTCTGCCATCTCGGTAAGAAATGACCTACAATCTAAGACCGTTCTGGACGTAGAGATCCCAGACACTAGCGCCCTTATCGCGACTTGGCTGACTTGCAGAGCATCTGCAATCGCAACCACCTCCGCTTGAAAAACGATGCAGTAATTTGGTAAAGGGGAAGAGACCTCGACTTCCAATTGATCGGAATAAACAACCCTATCTACCCTTTCGTCAAATTTGGATCTTGCATCAAGGAAGCCGTAAGTTGAAACCTCCGACAGAGCCGAAGTGATTGAGATTATTGAAAGCACCTTCAATATCTGGGAAAGCAGTCAATATGTAT